ATAAGAATTTATTGATTACATAATGTGTACCTTAAAAAATTGAATCTATTTTAACAAAATAAAATGTCTGCATTTATGCCTAATGTTAGCTGAGACATACTGTTTGCTATATATTTGGTGTATTTCCTCTGGCTGTCCCAGAAGTTAACTTTTTAAAAAATAGTTCACTTGTTGTACATTAGAATGTATTACAACTCATTAAGTATAATTTTGGTTTCTATATTTTTAGTTACGGCAGCTACTTGATCAATATTTAGGGAAAAAGGGTCTTAGTTTTAGGTGGGTGAAAGGGATGGAGAGCTAGAAAACATGGATAATAGCTGGTTGCAGTGTTTAAGGATAAATTGCAATCAGCTATTCAATAAACAAACAAACAAACAAAAAACACAAAATTCTGCCCAAGCCTGAACCACAGGGAGGAATTGGCTTATCTCTAAATCATATTGGGAAGACTGATGATGGAACTGTACTATGAGCTGACTAGTAATGCAAACTTTCATTATCTATCAGAATAATAAAATGAAGCAAAATGTCAGCGGGCATCAAACAACAGTGGATGATGCCTCAGTCTTTGATTTTCGGGAAATTAGAGAAGTTTGTTAAATGAGAATTTTTTAAAAAGATGTCATCAGGGAGTAAATAATGGCATATTCTTATCAGGTTCAAAACATTTTCTCTGTGACCTGAGACATAGAGGTTATAAAAAGATAGGACAACTTGATTTTTTACCAAGGGTTGGGATGGGGCCTGGTGACTCTGTTCCAAGATGTAGGTGGGAAATGTAATTGGTTTTAATTAATCAAAGTAGTGCCAGAAAAATGTTTACCGTATTACTAAGGGTTCTGAAATGTTCAAGTTTGTTTTAACAATTTCCTGTCCACCCCCACTTTCTCCTATTTTTTAAGTATAAAGCCAAGAAAAATGAGGGAAAGGTGACTTCATGTTTTTCTTTTTGATCCAGCAACTTGTGTCAAGAGCTTATAATTAAACAGAAGAGAAAATTCAGCAAGATGTACTTTGAGACAGAATTCTGTTTTTGGTAAAAAATAATATTTCATTTTAACTGAGTTCTAACTATTTGGCCACTTTTAAGTCAGATGTTTATAAATGATTGAAATAAGAATTAAAAGAAGACGTACAGCTTCTGTGCTAAGCTGGGAAGAAAGTAGACTAATATTTAGAAAACCAGAAGACTAGGCCCTGATCTGCCAGGAACAAGCTGAGTGATCTTGGGCAAGCCCTAGGACCACTGTCATTACTTCCTTGCTTATGACAATTTGACAAACATGATGGAAAATTAACTACCACTCAAGAGCTTGTTTACCTAAAATTAAATAAAGTATTAGCAATTGGTTCTGATCACTTATTGTTTCAGAATTTGTGATTTCTTTGCACCGATTTTTTCTTTTCACTTAAGCTTAGTTTTTCTCGTGCTCTCTCCGGGTCAGAAATGGTATGATTGCCTTCTTGGGCTCAGCATCCAAAGTTGTTTGCCAAGATAACTCCTGGTTAGGAGTTAAAATTCTTACTCATTTAAAACCATTTTCCTGAATGTCAGTAAGGTAAGGTAGAAAGAGGCTTCTGTATTTAGAGTCAATAAAAATGATTTCATCCAAACTCCCTATCCAGCTAACTATGATCCCTTCAATAAGCCAACTCACCTTTTTATGCCTTAGGTGTCTCATCTAGCAAAGAGAAAGAATAAGTTTTTAAAAGTAAATTATAATGATTAACAGATGAGTTATTTGACAAGTTAAAAGTACTATTAAATTGAGTTATTATTCATAACATAAGATTTGTGAAATATAGGGAACAGCTTCTGCTCTCTCAACTGGATACATGCAGAGGTGGCTTGTATAAATGTACGGTCACAAATCATTCTTGGAGTACTCATAACCAGTGTCCACCACCTTCCTGAAAGCCCAAATGAGTCCTGGTGCTATCCTCTGTGAAGGCAGAATTTCTCCAGTTAATAATCCAGGTCTAGTCTGTCCCAGTTGTCTGCAGTTTCCTCTGGTGCTGAGTAGTTGTGTGCCATATTAGAAAGGTGGCATTTCCATCCCGCTTACTGCAATGGCCTTCCCACAGCAGTGGATTCACTGGTCTCCTAGAGCCCTTAATTTGTCATATGGGAAACCCTTAGGAAGAGCGAGAAGCTGGATCAGCCTGCTTTTCCTCACAATTCTCTTCAGCCAGTATCATACTGAGTCACTAAAATACATGCTTCAAGATGGGACTGGAAAAGACGGCCAGCTCACATTCTGGGCAGTGAGCACCATGTTCAGGGCGTTGAGTTCAGGCTTCTTGCTCCCAGAGTTTGGGTCTGTGAATCTTCATGGGTGGGCCCCAATGATGAGGTCATTCAGACACAGTCTGAACCTACGGGGTGAGTGTCTGGCATAGAGTAACTACTTCAACCTTTAAAAAATGAATTAGCAAAGGATTCATATAATGTCTACTGAGTATGTATTTTATCTGCAATTGAGAGAGATACATTAGAAGTACATGGCACTGTCCTGCACTAAATGTTGTCATTTCTTCCAGAAGATAAGGCTTGTGTATACAAAATATTTGAGCATTAAAGTGAAGGATTTTTAAGTGATAGAATTAATGGTTTAAAGTATAGGGCTATAGGAATTCAAAGAAGCAGGAGATCAATGAGTAGATAACTTAGGAAGTAAAACTTAAGGTAAAGTTCCTTAAGGTTTCTTAAGGGAAAGTAACTTAAGTTAGAAACCTTAAGTTTCTAATTCTACTTAAGGTAAAGTTTCACTTCCTGAGATACCTCCTTTTCCTAAGATATCTGGAAGTGGGATGAAATCTAGGAGGATGAAAAGGAGGTAGCATTCTAAGAAGTATCACCATCATAAGCAAATGTCTGGAAATGGAAGTGGGTGTGTTTCCTTTACTCTTTACTTCTTGTTAATGGGGAATCACTGGAGGAGTATATTTAAAACAAAACAGGATTATAACATGTAATAGATATTATAATTTGTAGAAATACTCATAAATGTGTATAAAGATGTATGTGTAAAGATGTTGATTATTTGAAATAACAAAAATTTGAAGTAATTTAAATTCTATAAGTAGGGAAATGCTTAAGTCACTTACATTCCCAGCATGACATACCAGAAAGTACATTCATGTGCCACATAATGATATTTTGTCAGCAGTGGACTGGATGCAAAATAGTGGTCTCTTAAAACTATAATGCAACCGAAAAATTCCTGTTGTCTGGTGACATCTTGATGATCCTGACCCTGCATAGGACTAGACTAATGTGTTTATTTGTGCCTTAGTTTTTAATAACTTAATGTAAAATGTTAGTTTTGTTCTGTTTTGTTTTGAGACAGAGTTTTGCTCTTGTGGCCCAGGCTGGAGTGCAGTGGCATGATCTCAGCTCGCTGCAGTCTCTGCCTCCGGTTCAAGCAATTCTTGTGCCTCAGCCTCCCAACTAGCTGTATTACAGGTGCGTGCCACCATGCCTGGCTAATTTTTTGTAGTTTTAGTAGGCATGGGATTTCACCAGGCTGCTCTTGAACTCCTGACCTCAGCCTCCCAAACTGTTGGGATTGCAGGCATAACCCACTGTGCTTTTTTTTTTCAGACAAAGTCTCTCTCTGTCACCCAGATGGAGTGCAGTGGCGCAATCTTAGCTCACTGCAACATCCGCTTCCCGGGTTCAAGCAATTCTTTTGTCTCAGCCTCCCAAGCAGCTGGGATTACAGATGCATGCCACCACGCCCGGCTAATTTTTGTATTTTTAGTAGAGACGGGGTTTCACCATATTGATCAGGCATGTTTAGAACTCCTAACCTCAGGTAATCCACCCACCTCGGCCTCCAAAAGTGCTGGGATTACAGGTGTGCACCACCATGCCCCGCCCAAAAATATTTTTAAAAACAATTTTTTAAAAGCTTATATACTAAGGACATAGAGAAAATATTTTTATATAATTTAGACAAAATGTTTATGTTTTAAGATAAATGCTATTACAAGCATCAAATAGTTTTTTTTTTAATTTAAGTTTATAAAGCAAAAATTATAGTAAGCTAAGGTTTATTATCGAAGAAAGAAAACTTTTTTATCAGTTTAGTGTAGTGTAAGTATACAGTGTTTACAGTGTACAGTAATGTCCTGGGCCTTCACAATCACCCACCCCTCACTCACTGACTCACCCAGAGCAACTTCCAGTCCTGTGAGCTCTATTTGTGGCGAGTGGCCTATATAGGTAAACCACTTTATATCTTTTATATGGTATTTTTCCTGTACCTTTTCTATATTAGGTATGTTTAGATTCACAAATACTATTGTTTTATAATTTTCCTACAGTGCTCAGGACCTTAACATATTACACAGGATTGTAGCCTAAGAGCAATAGGCAATACCTAATAGCCTAGTTATGTTGTAGGCTATCCCGTCTGTGTTTATATAAGTACACTCTGTGATCTTTGCACAATGATAAAATTACCTAATGATGCATTTGAACATTTCTCAGGGCGTATTCCTGTCAGGAAGCAATGTATGACTGTAGTTGAGAAGAATGAAGTAAACCTCTTAGTGCTGTCCTAGAAAGACCATCACAGAAAGAAATGACAGTAGATTAATGGAAAAAATGCATTCTTATACTATTGGTTACCTTTGAAAATTGATGTTTAAAAATCAAAGTGGCATTTCAGGAAGATTGATGTGGTGATACCGTGTCAAATTAAAAGGAGGTGATTGGAAATGAAGAGGGATATTGGGAAACGGGTGTATGAGTTTAGATATCCAAGGCCAACAAGGAGGACCTGAATGGTAGAGAGAGAGAATGTAAAGGCATCCTAAAGAATGGTTGCAAAGGACTTCATGACAGTTAATAGGGTTGAAGGAGAGAGAAGAGGAAAGAGATTTCCAGGTTGAAGCTTGGGAAATACACATAAAAGAGTTATTTCTGCAACTTGAGTGGATCCATGTTAACCAGAAACCTTTAAGAAATTCTTCATGTTTTTGTTTCTCAGGATGGAAGAAACAGTACGAAATCTATTGCAGAGTCAAGGATCTCCAGAGCAGAAAAAAGAAGACACTGTTAATATAATGGTCTATCAGGTACAGCGTGTTTATTACTCTTGGCCGGCTACTGGTCTACTTGTTTTTCTCATATTTCTCTAGGTTTGTCCTCTCCGACCCAGAGATAATAAAAGGTATGTTCCAGACCCCAGTGCTAGGAGCCACCTAGTCACCTCTGGTTTGAGGAATCATATACATGTTTATTCACTTCATTCATTTCTTAAACTCCTACCGTGAAACAGAGTGTAGATTTGATTCTAGGAATATGAAAAAAAAAAAAAAAAAAAAAGCTTATGGTGAATGAGAGAGACTTGTAAAAGCATTGCAGTACTCTGTGGCCAGGACTAAAGAGAAGTGTTTACAACATTCTCTGGGAACACAGGAGAGAGACTGCCTCATCCTGGCTGAGGAGTTGAGGAATAAATACTTGCCAGAGGTGTGATATTTAAGGTGGGCTTGTGGAACACAGAACTCAGTGAAAGGCATTTCAGGTAGAAGGGGTGCTTAGGTAAAGGTGCAGTGATGTGAACCTTCACAACAGGCTTGTGGAGAATAAGCAACTCCACATAATTAAGTAATGACCCGGAAATAAAAAGTTATAGTGAGACTGAGCGTGGAGGGAAGACCTAGATTAGGTCTGGGGTGTATGCAGTGCTTCTGGGTCTGGACTTGCACCTCAGGCAACAAGGAGTCTAAGGAGGCTCAAAAAGAGTAAGCAGTCAGTGAAATAACAGGTCTTTGTCTTCTCCTGATAACCTTTATCCCATTGTCCTTTAACACTAGCAACACTGCCAGGCTAGGAAGCAGGACATCTCATCTCAGTATGGTCCAGGTTGCCTACACAGGTGAGAAGGCTCTGGTACAGTGGAAAACGGAAATACAGTAGAAACAGCACTGTATATAGATATATAGATATAGATATAGATAAATTTCAGATTTCTACTGAAAATCACTTCAAATCACAAATAGAGACCCAGAATCCACTGCACAACTATGTATGGAAAGGTTAAAAAAGCAAGGACATTGGTGGAAATGTAAGGTCATCACTGGGAAGCCCTAGGTTTTTGCTAGCCAAAAAGCAAGTAGATACAGGAAAGCAAGCATAGGGACCCAGCTGATTGGTGTAACATGGCATTAGCTTACCTGAATTCATGAGTTCAGGGCTCTGCAACCCAACTGGTTGTGAAAAGGCATTGGGAGGAATATGGTAACACAAGTAAAAGTAATTAACTCCAGATAGATTAAACACTTAAACACAAGATCTAACACCATAAAAACCCTAGAAGAAAACCTAGGCAAAACCATTCAGGACGTAGGCATAAGCAAGGACTTCATGACTAAAACACCAAAAGCATTAGCAACAAAAGCCGAAATAGACAAATGGGATCTCATTAAACTCTGGAGCTTCTGTACAGCAAAAGAAATAATCATTAGAGTAGTCTGGCAACCAACAGAATGGGAAAAAAATTTTGCTGTGTCCTAAATGGTTGACTCTTATAATCTACACAGGGCTACTTCAAGAAGGTTGTAAGAACTCTTTCCTATGTGCAGTGAATATCATGCAAGGAGGGGACTTAAGCTACGTCAGAAGAAATTAGCTTCGTAAAGACAGTGGAAAATCACTAAGATCCATTTCTAGAGAAAGGGCTTAGATTCTTCTTGAAAGGGTGGTCTTGACAAAGGGAAGGCATGCTCAGCGTTTCCTGATGTGGGGTCACCTAAAGTTAGGAAAAAGATTTCAGTCCTACCAGCTCTGAATTCTTCCTAGATATTATATCTGCTTTACTACAAAGTTGAGGTGTAAGTAAAAAATGGAACTCAGTTCTGCATTGAATGGTTCGGTGCAGCCTAAAAGGTTCGTATAGATCTGTGAAAGTAAATTATTTTTTCCCCACCCCAGGTAACAGCTGGCTTCATTAGAACTAAATAATCAGGCATCACTCTTGGGCTCTATCTGATTTCTTCATGGTGGATCTCTTTCATTCAGATTCATATTTTCTTTTGCTTATTCTCTTCTGAGCTCTTTACCAGTTATTAGCCAAATCTGTGGTATAGCCATTTAACATCGGCAGCAGCATTCATTTTGTGAAACTGGAAGATGCTTAGAAAAACAGGCTTTAAGAAATGTGTTTTACAACTGTTACCTCTCCATAATGCGGTCTGTTTGTTTTGGGAAATTAACTCTTCCCTCTAGGGAGAAGACAGTCATTAACTTGAATTAATGCTACATGGTAGGGATGTTTCAGTCATTCCTTTAATTGGCCTCAGGCTCCTTATCTATAAAATGGGAGAGGAAGGTGGGTTACATGACCTGTAAAGTTTCATTGTACATTTAACAAACATTTACTGAACTTCTCGTATGCAGTAGGGACAGCCTCGTGCCCTGGGCATTAAGGAAATGAGAAAAGAGAGAAGGGCAAGTGATGCTGGGTGGCTCCAAGTCCCAGGGAGTGCCCCTTCATCTCACAGACTCTGTTATTCTAAATAAGGCTAGTTGTAGCAAAATAGTTTATGCAAGATGCATGCATGGTGATACTAGCCGAGCGCATACTTAACACCTCCCTGCTGCCAAATTCTGCTTTTTGGGCAAGAGCTGGAAAATTTGTTGCTTCATAATATGGGGTGTCATTAGCACGCCTGTCACAGATTTTCCAACTTGCAAGATTTCTCTGAAAGGAGCCAGACCCGTATAAAGCTTAGGCCTCTGGGAAAGCAGGAGTTAGTTTCATTTTCCACTGTGGTAGATGTGTTTGTTCTGAGTCTTTTATCATTGAGCTAATATAATAATAGCAGAGTAATAGCTTTCTGTGTTCCAGGGCCCTGCTAATTGTTTTGCATGCGTTAAAGGTAGTCATATTTTGTTCAGGGGTATGTTCCCGAAGACCTTTCATAATTTGTTGCTTGTATAATTTACAGCTTGCATAATTCAACATGGATTCTCTCAAAGGACAGTGGGTGTTTTCTGTTCAGCCACTGAGACGGTCCCACTATGTGGTAATCAGTGGTTTACAGTTTACCAACTTTGCCATTTTTGACCTTTTTTTAATTGGGGAGTTTGCATGATTTCAAGTTTTGTGCATGAAGTGACATTAAGAACATTTTCATGTGACCACAATTTCAAATTTGCCCCATTCAGAGCCTCATCAAATGTGACTAGACTGTAGCTCATTCTGTCTGCACAATAATTTTGTGCAGGAGATGCCCTTACTATCCCTATCTTACAGGTGTGGATATAAGCCCAGAGAGGTGAGTGCTTGCCTAAGGATGTACAACTAAGAAGTAGCCTAGAAGGGTTTTGAACCCTGGTCAGTCTGATTCTATAGCATTAGCTCTTCCAGAGAGATTACATGACAGGGCCCAAGTTAAATGATAGGGCTGCTTATTATCTACACTGAGACCTTGAGAACTGAACCTGGGCCTTTCCACTTTCTTTTTTTTTTTTTTTTTTTTTTTTTTTAAATGGAGTTTTGCTCTTGTTGCCCAGGCTAGAGTGCAATGGCGCAGTCTTGGCTCATTGCAACCTCCACCTCCCAGGTTCAAGTGATTCTCCTTCCTCAGCCTCCGAGTAGCTGGTATTACAGGTGCCCGCCACCACTCCTGGCTAATTTTTTTTGTATTTTTAATAGAGATGGGGTTTCACCATATTGGCCAGGCTTGTCTCAAACTCCTGACCTCATTATCCACCTCCCAAAGTTCTGGGATTTTAGGTGTAAGCCGCCACTCCCAGCCCTGCTTTCTATCTAGAACTCGCTCCATTCATTCCTCTGTTCGTTTGCTCACTCATTTATTCAAATGCCAGTTATTTATTTACTTTCTTATCTAAGTGTATTAGTTTCCTATTGCTGCTGTAACAAACTTGGTGGCTTAACACAATTTATTCTCTTATAATTCTGAAAGTCAAAAGTCCAAAATAATAGTATTGGTCAGGCTACATTCTTTCTGGAGGCCTCCAGGGATAAATGAATCTAGCATTCCTTAGCTTGTGGCCCCCTTGCCTCTGTCTTTCCACTCAGACTCTCCAACCCCTGGTTTCATCATCACATCTCATTTTCCTCTCTAGGGTCCATCTTACAGGGACCCTGTGATGATGTGGAGCCCAACTGGGTAATTCAGGATAATTTCCTCATCTTGAGATCCTTAAGTTGATCAAATCTGCAAAAGTCTCTTTTGCCACATAAGGTAACATGTGCTCTCAGATATCCAGGACTGGGATGTGGACATGTTTTGAGGGTAGGCATTATTCTATCACACTAAGTAGCACGTGTTAACTTCGCAGGCTGGTAGTATCCAGAAGATATTGGTTAAGTACCGGAGATGCAAAGATGCCTGACACGGGTCCTTTCTTGAAATGCTCAGCCTATAGGATGCTGGGGAGTAGAGAGATAATCACATATATTCAACAATGTAATAGAAGACAAAACAGAAGCTTGCATACATTCTGAGGGCACAAAGGAATGTGTCATGCAGCTCACTGTTCTCCCTGGAGACCCTGCCTCCTGACTCAGACTTATTTTTAATAATCCACTTCTCTTTCAGTCTCTTTTGTCTCTTGAAATGGACATGAGAGTCATGTACTTCCCCATGAGTTCCATGGCCTGCCTTTCTCAGAGCATCTTATGTTCCCACTGTTCTGGGACCATGTCTGATTATCAGGGCACATATGCTTGGTGCTTTATAGTTTACTAAGCACTTACACAAAATGGATCTCAGTGCTTGGTGCTTTACAGTTTGCAAAGTACTTACACAAAATGGATTTTATGTTTTTCTTCCAACAGCCTCTAAAGTACGTATTTTCGGGCTCATTTTTTGATGAGGCTCATATGGGTCTCGGATCTTCAGGGAATGGGATGTGGATATCTTTTGAGAATGAAGTCGCAAATGCCAAGTGCTAGAACTAGAAATTAATCATAGATTTTCCTATATGAAATACTTGAAATTAAACTGAGCAGTTATCTGTGGAGTATTTTGATGGTGTGGTGGAAAGTGGGCACAGTCTAAAATCTCAGGTCACAAAGTCGCTGTCTCAAAATATTTTAAAA